GCCATGGAGGATGCTTTCCTTAATCCTTCATGGTCTGGCACAGGTACATTTCTTGGCATTATAAATCAGAACCAATTGGAAAACATATAAAAGTTTGGCTTTGTATCATTCTGGATCTGATGATCCTGCAGTACAAGGGACTCAATATTGAGCTGGAATCTTCCAAATCCTGCATTAATCTGGTAATGAAACTGGAGTTCAAAGCCGAAACAAAGCCGATGTTTGAACATGGTATCTGATACGGGCTACTTTCCCTTATATGGAGCAATAAAAACAACTGTTATGCTTTCAATGTATCATAAGTTTTTAGGGAGCACTTGTACATTCCTGCATCCCGGCCCCATCCCTAACCTGTCGACGATAATTTAAGTTTATGGCGGACACAACAGAGGGTGCTCAGTTTTTGGAGTAAATTTGTGCAAATATAACAGAGCTTACCCATAAATAGCGCCCCCATTTTGTGTCAGCCATATCTAAAAATGCTGTTGCTATAATGTGGAGAAGACAGACATTCCTTAAATGTTTGTCTCGTCCATTGAAGACACTTTGCTTTTGTGACTCCGGCAATCCGTGTCTACAGGTGGCGTCTTGTGGTCACAGGTGCCGGGGCCTTGGGCAAGGTTTACAGCCATTGTGCGGGCCGTTACTCGCTGTTTGGGTTTTGCTAACAGAGCATTACAAGCGCAAGTATAACTGAGTACAAGCAAAGATAACTGTGTCCGATTTTTTTATTTAGATCTTGAAGCTCGTGTTAGGGATTTGTAGGCCTACAGGGCTACTTTTAACTTGCTCCGTACTTTTAATAAGAAGATTGGTGGTTGGTTGGTTGTTTGGTTGTTTGTCTTTTCTGAGTCTGCCTGAGCTGACTGACTTGTGGCTATATATTTTGTCCCCATTATACACATTGGAAAGAATTTTGCAACCTGACACTACTTTTTTCTTCATTTAAATTATCTCAATAAAGATACAGGTCAGTCATAGCAAAATGTTGGAAAGCCATGAATCTGGGACTGATAAACATTTCCAATTTTGTTAGGAAAATACTTAGAAAAAATTCTTGACTCTCCATAGACTTTGTACACAACCGTTGAAGTGGCGTCTGGATACTTCATTCTTTCCTACACATTTTGTATAGAATCTACAGAATTATGTGGACCCTTCTTTGTCATCTTTGTGGTGTAGGGATGTTGTTCATAGATATGATAGACCGTAGTTAGAATAGTTTCGATACAATCTTTTATCAAAGAGGCGTGTCCCTTTATCCCTGGTCTGGTTCCTATTTTTGAATATGACGACTACCTAACCTGCGATTTATTAAGAGACGTCATGGGATTCTCAAGGAACCAGACTACTCATCCCCAACGAATTCCCATCCAAAACCCGAAGCCCAATTGATCGCAATTTACACATTCCATCTTTAACATCTGGATATAGATTCTTAATCCCTTGTCTTTCTTCTCTCTACATTTCACCAGCGTAGCAGACGGGATGCGGCCGAAGCTTGCTGGAAAAGAAATTGCAACAAAATCAAGAAAGAAACAGGTAAACTGAATTCCATCCACGAACTGTAGTTTCTTAGGGCTAAGCATGGGCAATTTTGCATATTACTGTTCCCCGTTATACACAAGGTTCTCGCCTTGTCACTTCTGTTTGCAAACCTGTCAGTACTCGAGGCAAGAAATGTTTGAAGAGTCATCAAAAGCTCAATAAACAAAACGCTTTAGCGAGTCCACTCTAGATCTCCAAAACAGGGCTTCCTTTTTCCTTAAGTGTGTGTTAACTCCCTTGTGGGAATTTTTGTAGAGGTTGACAGACGAAATCGCTAAGGGTTGTTGTCGCATCACGCAAGAATTTGCCGAGCAATTAACAAAGCTGTTTGATTATGGAATTAGTGGCTGTTTGCTCTGAACAAAAGACGAGGTTGCAAAAACTCTTGAATTTTTTTGTTGGGCACGGTGAACGTTCCGGACCCCCTGGCAAAGGTTTCAGTGTCTGAATTTTTTTAACAGAGCACTTCTTGTTTATTCAGTAAGAGATTTGAAGAGGAAGACTGGTATTTTTTTGCAGGTATTTTATAGCTTTTCTGGGAAAGAAGATGTCACAAAAAAGGCCTTTTGTGTCTGTTCGTTTGAATCTGAATTAAAAACCTACTGCGCACGCGCTACCCGCGCACGCGTTGCCCGCGTGAACAGCAGCGAAGTTCGGGACATGATGAGAACCCATTTACTCCTGGGTGGAGAGAAGCAATGAGTGACAAAGTGCCTTGCCCAAGGGCACAGGCACCACAACCCCAGGCTGGACTCGAACCCACAACCTGCAGAATTACCTGCGGACCGTGAGTTCAATGCTTCAGACCACCATACATGTTTGGTACTATTATTCAACAATTTTAATATTTTAAAAGGACTTGTATATCTGTATTGATGACCTAACTGATAAGAATTCAATAATGATATCAGACACTTATTATGATGACTTGCAGTTATGTACGACAAACGCAATACATTGGTCTGTAGTGGTCACGTTCCATGATTTTCCACTTTTTTTCCTCGAACGGGTCTGTCCGTAAAAGTTCTAAAAATGGTAACAATGAAACTCAAGTTACCTTCAATTATCAACACAAGCAAAAACCAATGAAGCCAGTATACGGATCGTCGGATTCCGGAAAGAATCCGAATTTTCTGGTTTTGCATGGTTGCACGCACAATGTCTAAGAATAGCACTTGACTGCAGCAAACTTGCCAGTGTCGAGTTTCAATGGTTCGATATTCGTTGGCTATTTTTATCGATGGACAACAAAAGAATCGAGGCCGATGTTGACTTGAGCGTGGCCCGAGTGTTTGTTGATGAGACAATGAGGGTTACGTGAGGCCCTTCCTAATTGAGAGTTTTATTCGAGTGCATCGACCATAGCATGAACTCAGAAAAGCATTAAAGGTGCGGGCAAGCATGAAGGGGATTGCGAGGCCACAGAATTTGGGAAGTGTTTGAACTTGAACCAAATGCAAAAGAGGTACTAATATTGTGAGTTGTTGTGCAATGACAGTGAAGGTTATTGCTATTTGAAATACCAGTGATCAAAATCTGTACTTGTAAATGCGGATTAGTTACTATGAATTTAACAAATATTTCCCAGCATGCAGTTGGGAATGACGTCACGTATTTCACGATATTACGGGTGCCATGTCTGTATGTACCTTATTATATATGTCCAATATGATTGGATGAGTGACATAATCACCAGGGCAACGTGCTAAGAAAACTTATTTGTCATTGACGATTTTTGAGACAAGACTGCACCGTAAATCCTACATAGGCTACATTAACAGCCAATTAAATTGGACATTTGGGATCTTTTTTGTCATTACAAATCCTCCATATTTGTTTATGTTTAATTTATCAGATAATGTAACAAGCCACGTGACAGCTTTCCAATATGGCCGACCCGTTGCATGGTTTGTATACCAAGCATGCCTTCGCAAACTTCTATACAATAAGTGGCACGTCTGTTTTCTCCGGACTTTTTCCCCTCCTCAGTTAAGGAACTTTCCTTAATCTCCTAACGAATGGAAAATGTGAAGAGTGCTTCATCACCATGCTCACAAATTGGGAGCTCCTAGCGACGACACAACTCAATGACACTTGGAGAGACCTGTAAACCGCTCCATGCTCCCAAAAGCCTTTTATAAAGAGGAGCACTTTTGGTGACACCAAACAGCAGTATTGGCGCAGTTGTATGTTTTCCACGCAGCGGTAGATCATTAAAGAATGCACACAGGCTTCAATGCATGTCTTTAACTTTCATTTCTGTTCCCTCTTTTGGGGCTAAACGAGTGGATTTCTTAATGCGTACACATGAATCACTCGACTCTTCTGAACACTTCAGAGTTTGGTGATAGTTAGTCAGTCTTTATAGTCGGGCACCACTTCAGCTCGCTAGACCCTGATAAGACGTGTATACATGGCAGAATTGGGACCTCAAAACTGAACAGGCAGGGAATTGTGATTCAACCGGGACCTGTCAGAGTTTTCGACAAAGCCATGGGTGTCATTGAGCCACGGTTTTCCTGGAATCCTCTCTCTGTTTCACTCATTGACAGAGATCCAGGTGATAGACCGGAACTCGAATTGATTGGACCTTTGTGAGAGGGACCTCAATGCAACTAATTGGGAAATAATGATCTGTGCCGCTTTGATGTGTTGCTAGGAATTTGGTGGGTGGTACATCACTTCGATATTGTGGTGTGAGACAGCAATGTTGAACCGTTCGAGAAAAGACTGAGATCGTTTGCTTCTGCAGTTGCGTGAGGAAACGTAAACGAACTTTGGAGAAACTTTTGAACTTCAATTGACAAGCTAATACTGAACTACACACTTTACCATTTCGGCTAGCACTTCAACTTAAGGTTGATTTCAAGTTGGATAAGTACTCAGCCGTTTTGGTGACTGACTTTGCATACAAAAGTTGACCAGGATTGAGCTTAAAACATGTGATCTTTACTGGCGTCACCCGAAAGTCAAACCTCTTGAAAATGGTTATTTTCCATGATTATCTTCGCTTCATCAAAAAGCAATCATTCGGCCGTCTCAATTGCAACAACTTTTGAACTTTGCGATAACCAAAATCAACTAAAGAGCACACTTCAGTTCTCGATAACAAGGAGTACCACGGTACACAAACGGCAAAAATTATGCAAACAGAAAAAAATATTAACCCACAAAAAAAACACCCATTTTCAACACGCGGGTTACTTTGTCACGTCAATTCACTGGTACCCGTCCTGCACGCGTGGAAAGCATCCAGAAATACGCCAATTTGGTGAAATCATTCAAAACTGGTAACCTGTAAATATAATTGAAAGTGGTAACATATACACTTGGTAACCATAGAGTTCAATGCTGGTAACCTACACTTGAAAACTGGTAACCTACACTTGAAACTGGTAACCTACACTTGAAACTGGTATTGAAACAGGTATTGAAACAATGTTGATCTGCTGGACTGGTACTCTGACAATTCCTACCAATTTCAACTGACCACTCGTTTTAAGTGATCGATCTACCACAGTGCTAGCTTCACTTTATACAAAGCCGCCTTTGACATTGACTAATAAATTTCCAGCAGAAAATTTATAAAAAGCTTTGTGGTCTGGAAGTTTAAATTACAATGACCTAATTTGCTGACTGATAGCATCGGCCCAAAACCTGTTAGCATAATAGACTAATTATGTACTGCCGAAATGAAGTTTGAACCTTATACATCATGCGGGCTTAATGGGTCCGACAAACTGGCGAAGTGGTTGGACTGAGGCAGAACGTTCGTAGACATAAACCCAATGCTGTGTGCTGCAGATAGGCTTAACAATTTACAGTTTGACAAGAAGTTGCATTATAGTCGTCGCATCGGGAAATTTTGTTCAGGTGTTCGTGAGGCGGTTCGACAGAGGAACATATACGCGGGCTTTAGCCTTCGCATTTTCATTGAACCAGGACAGAATGTGCCTAATTTGGGATGTTTTCACCTACTTTCGCGAATGACGTGTTTACAAACACCGGTTTTCATTTTGGAATCTCGGTGATTTGAACTGGAAAAAGTCATCCCTTCTTGAAACAGATTCACAACCCAAGCGTGGTGTCTAGGACCGTCGATTGGGGCTATTTGCACAGCTTAATGCCCCCTTTAACTCGCACCACCGACCTATCAAAACTGGAGAGCTGAAAACGAAACCCGCCGCAACAAAAGAACACCCGTAGAAGGGAACAATGTAACCCTTGCAATATGAACCAGGCTGTAAACCAGAGAGAAAAGAACTAGAGGTATACAGAGAGATTTAAGCCGCCATACAGCGCGTTTACATTATTCTGGTGGTCTGTCGCATCCCGGGATGGTTGCTTGTCGTGCATGGACATCAACAGAGTTTTGATGAACACAGAGCACGATTAAGGTGACTTTATACGCATCGATTCCGCTCCAGCATTCGACCGGAATTCGGCCTCCAAGAGGAAAGTATCCTCCCATCAGGGATTTTGGAAGATTCATCGAGGCTACACGACCGAGAGATTTCAAAAGGAATACGAGATATGTTTTGATTGTTTTGAGGACAACTGTTGAGAGCGGAACCTTGTGCTGATTATCTGATCGTGAATGGATTGAGCAACAAGTCAGTGGCGTACTTGCTTTTCTGAAATGTGAACAAAAAAAGTGACAGAAGAAATATCTGGTGTCTGTCATGTTGCACCAGTTGTTCCATCATACTCCCGTGTTTTCTTCTTCTTCAAATTTTATGTTGCACCTAGTTGGACATTGAGACCTAACCTGCCGACAAGATGTCAGTTAATTTAGAGATAGGCCGACTGGACACCTTGGTCATAATTTGAGATTCAGGTTGGTTTGAAATTCTTGCGAATTTTACCCATAAAATGCTCATCCGTGATTGACAGAGACTTTAAGAAACTTAACTAGTGTCGTGACACAGCGAAGCTTAGTTTTTCATTGTTTACTCATAATGCATGGAGGTGTAGTGAAGGTTCCTCCATCATCCTGTGATCACGACATGGCGATGACGTCAGGGACAAGCAGCCAATCAGATGGAAGTGATTCTCCAGCTATTTCTGATCACAATAGCAATAATACCGACACTGTGGGCCAGAGTGGCGGTGGGACGGTCGAGATTAAGTTAATTGTATCAATAGACGGGGGATCGGACGAAGCAAACACACCCCGGGTGTTGACGCGAGTAAAACATGAGCAGCCAGCCGGTAGGAGCGGGAGTGTACCGGACGTGATGCGTCTGCTGCCGCCCATACCCCGGGATCACGACTCGGACTCGGCCGTCCAGCAGGGCCTAGCATCGGGAGGCACCGGCCTGAGCCTCCGGTCCACCCGCTCCAGCAGCCCGCTGCTCCTGCTGGATCGCAGCGGCGGCCCCGGACTCTGCTTCCGAGCCGCGGACTCCGAGAAGATGTTACCGGTGCTGCTGTCGGCCGACGCCGGGCTGCACCCGGTTGCGCGCTCGCACGGCCTACTGGGGCACAGCAACAAGGGCGGGTCGTTGTCGGGAATCAGCCGGCCTCTGTCCCCACGGCCTCCGTCACCATCCCTCCTCCATCACCCCTCAAAGGACAAACCTGCTGGACTCCCTCATCACTTGCACAGGAGACTTAGCGAGGAGAAACACATACTTCCGTTGGACCCGGAACCTATTGTGAGGACCCGTGAAGGACCCTTAAACGACATCACCGACGTCCATCCAAGTTTGCTCCGACGACGATCTTGCCAATCACCGAACCGTCTCATGTTCTCAGAGAGACGGCGTGCCAGCGAAGGAGTCCTGAATGTGACGCCGTCGCAACTTGGACTTCACCCTAAATCGAGGACCCAAATTGAGCCTAGATTGCAGCAGTCGAAAGCTTCCCCCTCCTCCCAACGAGTCCGGAGAGAGATCGGGGAGCTGATGTCGACCGTGCCCAGCCGGAAACCTAAGGGGCAGAAGACGGCGCACGGCCAGGGGCTCAACCGTCTGTCCCGCCTGAGCAGTGCATCCGTTGAGTCGGTGAACAAACACGACACCTCAGATATGGATGATCTAGAGCGGCAGAGAATTCTCCACTGGCTGGACGGAGTCAAGAGAGGCATGGACGGACAAACAGACAAAGAAGAGGATTTAGGAACCGGCCACTTTGAGCCTCCTTTGAGCCGAAGCAGCACCGAAACGGCGATCCGGATAATCCACAAAGACCGGACCTAATTATCGGATTACATCCACGACACCAACACATGGATTATCGATTGGATCAGTGTGATTAGTGTGAGGATATTGCATGGTAGAGCAATAAAACGAACACGTGTATCCGGCCTGTCTCAAAACAGTATTGTCCTTTTATAATTAAAGTTGATACCTGAATGACTTTTAAGGGTTAATGAGTGGACCGACCGAGACTTCTGGTACAAAAGAGTCCCTTTAATGCATGGACATTTACATGTCAAGTATGCTCCCTCTCAACTTTGAAAATGACTCACCCATGACTTAACGTTCCTCAGCACGGTGAGCCCATTATTTTTCAGAGATATTAAAGTACGGGGATCCATACAAACTGAGTGATGTTCTTGGCATGTATAATTAATTTTAGGCTGATTGATATTGTTAGTCGATCAATTTGTGAATCCATGCATAAAAATCCCCTCCAGTTTCACAGAGCAACTAAAGCTAAAAAAATCTTGCAAATTTGTGCCTTACAAAACTTAGTTAAAAATCCCGAGCAAAATTCGGTGTTAGGAAATGGGTTTCGAACGAAGAAACATGCATGCTCATTCATAACAATCACAAAGCTGAACTTGAAACAAAATTAGTTCAACGCATCCTGCATAAATTTGAATCAGAATGAAATGCGAATGATTTTATGCATGACCTTTAACTCAAGTATTTGATGACGTACCCGATTTGTGTTTTACGCATATCGACAGCTTCGAAGTTGCCTGCCTAAAAATGTAAAAGTGTTCAAATAATTGATGGATGTTAACGGTACATGGAACCATTTGCTTATTGAGCACTTGTTTTCGTTACAAGCAACAAAATTGCTTAAAATCTGCAGGGTGCATAACACCTAACTTGAAGTTTCAGCTCAGTGGACTAGATATTTTGAGAAAACAAAATAATTTTGTGTCTCGTAACTGGATTCCGTTGCTCTAAACGCACGAAAAAAAAACCTGTCCGCTGGCACACTTTCTTAATTAATATACCACTTTTAATGATTGCTTTCTTCTGTATGGTACAATTTCAGGTGGAATAGTTTCAAAGGGTACATGTATTTGGTACCAGTCCTATCTTTGAGCAAGAATTTTCTTGTTAAATCGGTAAATACGTTTCTGTGAGTAATTGCCAATGTTCCCTCGTGCCTTTAACATACAATTTAAAAAATAACACCGTCATGGATTTGTGTATATGTCTTGTTTTCTTACACATTAATTTGTTTTTGCAAAGTTAAATTATTTGAATTAAGGGCAAAACCTAATATTGAATTTACATCAACCCGACGCAAATTCCATACATGAATAATTCAATTGCGGTACCCGCTGCTACATCAGATTTGAACCAGCCAACCGACCCCGTTAAGCTCGGTGGTCGAGTGGTATAGACGTCCGCACTAGAAAGCGGGATGTCGTGGGTTCGAGTCTCACCTGAGTGATTTTTTTTCTAACTTTCACTGGGGGGGGGGGAACACACTTAGTATACAGTGTTTATACGTCGGTAAAGGGAGGGCAAAACCTAATATTGAATTTCAATGATTTCACTGTGATTTTATTAACTATGATATCTATTTAAACGCTGATTTATCTATGCTGTATATATTGAGAATAAAATATAATTATAAATACGTTTAGCCTAGATTTGGTTGTAAAACATTTCTGTATTTGCCCCCAATATATTGCTTTTTTTTTTCAAAGTTTGTTGCACCGAGTTGAAGACGTCTGTAGATTATAAAAGGTCACGTTTACCCCCTCTTCCACCGAGACTACTATTCATTTGCAACACCATTAAAATCGTCTGGCTATCGTAAAGGCATTCTGTTTCTATTGTTCACTGCTATCGCGTAAAGCTGGCTATAAATCACAAAAAGTCATTTTATGAGACATAAGTTCCCGTGTAATGTCGTTTTATAGGTAATACAGAATTTTTGTGAAGACCTTTGATGGAGAAATTATAGCAGCATTTAGTGCATTCAGCATCTAAACTTTGCATAGACGCCAAAAGGAATACAGGACTATTGTAAAGAAAATTATGTTATTCTGGAACTAAGGGGAAAGGTTTTTAATTGATGATTTCTGGAGTTTTGACCAAGGTTGGTCATGGATGATAAAAATGGCAGTTTCTGAGTCAATTCGCGGGAATTATATGATATAATTCTGGCAGTTGACTCAATAAAATCTGCGAGTGAGAATATTTAGAATTTATATTTTCGCTTTTAATCTTTTCGTAAATTTTATGGCAGGTATATTGTGGGAGTTCAAGCTGAAAAGGGAGTTAAAATCCGCACCTGCTGAATCATTTTCGAGCATTATATAATATAATTTTCGCAAATAACTCAATAAAATCTGCGAAAATCGACTATTTAGAACCATGTGAGGGTTCTTAATACTTTTTATAGTCGTCCAGTGGAACTATTGGCTGGAAAGATTCTATGATGCATAAATTACCATCTGAACACCCACCAAGAAAGACTGCAGCCTAGTACGCAGCTGAGCTGATCGACCAACCTACGCCAGCCGACTGGCCGATCGACATGACTGACCGTCGACCGGCCGAACGACTAAACAAAACGACCAACCGACTTATTATAAAAAGGATACATTGACCATGAATGGATGCGACCCATCTGTACATAGTACAGTGTATGCCTTTGACCTATTTTGCAAAAGAGGACCATCATATCTGGCCTACCTTCACTAATGCCCCTAGTCAAGCGCCATTCTGATAAACTAAAATGAGTAATTGATAAACGATGAATTATGATTATTATGAATAATCAGGCCCATCCAAATAATCGACAAATGATATCCATAACTGTCCAATCTGATAAATTAAATGAGTGATAAATGAAGGGAATCAATTCCTACATTAATCAATGTCGCTACGCTGTGATGTTGAGTCTTAGGTCAATTTGTTTGGTCTAATTAGACAAACCAATTTGACCTTTGTCCTATTTCTGAATTTTGACCGATAATTAATCATTTACGTTTAATTCAGGCGGTTCAGTAGGCCAGCTACTTGACCTAAAAACCTAATAAAAAAAGACGAATAACCCGCATAACTTGAGATAACCATCTCTTTAGGAAGCTAAGGGTTCGTCCGGAGACTTGGGTTTACAATGGCTTATTTCATAGTGCTATAAAGCACACTGCATGCAGTGCAGGGAAACATAATTACTTGCTTACCGCCGAAAATCAGTTCACATCGCCAAAATTCCATGTGATTACTTGTGATCGTTTCCAAGCTGATATTTACAAAGCATATATTCCTGCATGTAAATACAGAAACAATATTCTCTGCTAAACACTCCCCCCTTCTTACCCCTTTTTTGGTGGGAGACGGGCTCGGCCACGCCCCTTTGGTGGAACATGCGTCTCCGCAGGGTTTGACTCTTGAGGGCGCCACGCAATATACATTTGGACCACATTTCAAGAATCTGTCATGTGTAATCGGTTTTTGGTAAGAAAATCTTCGCTACGAAGATATTTACTTTGATACTCCGCCTTAAATTGTATTAACTGTTACTCTATGATCTGAGAAACAACTACATATTCTTTTCCCCAAAATTATGAAGAAGAATTAAGGGGGAAAATGTTGCAACCTGACGCCACTTCCGCGATTGTGTACAAAGTCTATGGAGACTGGAAGAGTCAAGAAAATGTGTGAAGTTATTTACTATTTCCTAGCAATATTAAGTAACATAATTGGAAATGCTTCTCAGTCCCAGTTTCATGTCTTATCATCATGTCTTATCATCATCTATTTCCTACTCCTAGCAATATTAAGTAACATAATTGGAAATGCTTCTCAGTCCCAGATTCATGTCTTATCAATCATCATTTTTGCAATGACTGACCTTTATTGAGATGATATATGAAGAAAAAGTGGAGTCAGGTTGCAATTTTTTTCCCCAACTACCTAGGGCTAGGCCTACATATTCTTTTCCCATAATTATGAAGTAGAATTATTTATTGAATTACGTGTAAAGTTAGGAAAGAATGTTTCCAAATGGCACTTATTTGGTTGCCTGTCGTCATGATCGTACGTATATAGAGAGCTGGTCGAGTGTATTTGAAACATGCCTATTCTTATATATCTATTTAGTTGAACCTACCACGATGTCTGCGTTAAAACCACCCAGACGGAAGCGAAGGATCTACCAACAACTGGACTCTCCCTTCCCTGTCCCCATTGAGTCAATCACTAAGAAACCAGCGTCCAGCAATCGATGGTTCTACTACACTGGAGTACTGAAGGAAAACAGTGTACTCGTGCAGCAGCAAGGAGATGTGCTATTCCTGTACAAGATGGTAAGTAGACTTTCTCACTTCTTTGCCCGCAAAGTGGAACAAAAAAATACTGTCAAAATCTCCGTAGACCTTTTTGCAGATAGGTAGTTTGCAGTGAAGGTATCTACTTGCAGTACAGTAAGGGACAGTTTGTGTTATGGACATGACATATTGTCGTATTGTTATTATTATTATGATTAAGCATTTCTGGTAATGAAACCAAGGATTCCTCAAAAGCGTCACTGAAGCTCGCAAGCCTGAAGAAACCTGTGGAGAGAACTCAGAGAAGACAATGAGAAGAATTACAGTTTAGAGGTGGGAGGAAAAGCCCAGAAGAATATTCTGGGGGAAACCCACGGAATCAGGTAGGGACTGAAAACCCAATGAAGTGGGTTGGTTCTGAGATGATGTTTCAACTACAGTCACGACAGTGAGTCTCAATCATAGTTTGGAACATTGCAACACTAAGTTTGGCATAACACACCTAGAAAGGGACGCAACGTTAGTCCTGGTATGTGTGGCCAGTTATCTGACAATTGTTCAATTTTTATGTTCCAGGGTTTCTTTGGCAAGGGAATGTTGTCCAAGAGCAAGCCGGAGCACAACATCTACCTGAACTCCTACCAAGGCCTACGTAAGAAGAACCGTAAGTCACAATGGGTTTCTCTCGGATGACGTCACTGCTTACAGATCGCCACGTGCATTGGCATTTTGGGATTCGCATTTTCGTGACACGCATCGGCTGTGCCCCATTTTGAAGAAATTTCGAGCAACATGCGCGTGTTTAGAACAGTTTGCACACTGCGCATACACGCACCTGTTGGCGTTGAATACGCAGTTGTAATTTTCCTTCAAAGATGGCTGTCTATGAGAGGGCCATATAAGCAAAATAGTTACACTGACTGATTGCAAACGGTTGGTATGATTGTGTAGACTTAAAAAAAGTTCAGATGAAATGCTTTTAAGGACTCCATCTTTGCCACTAATCTATTTGAAACAGATTAAAGTTCTGGGTGGTGTATACATTGTGTGTAGTCTTGGTCTGCATGTGGTAGCCATGATAATAAAAAAAAAAAATTATGATAATTGTATATTTATTTTGTTTCATTGTTTTAATTAGTGCCACCTAAAGAAAGAAGGTTTCAACAACAGCGATTTCAACAAGTCAGGAAAACCAGGTAAGGTCACTTTTTAAAAATATTTTGAACAACCAGCTTTACTGATGTTCTCTGTTTGCACACCTGAAGGATCATATTCAGAGGCCACAGCAGGTGCGGATGCAGGGGGGGGGGGGGGGGGGTCGAAAAACAAAACAAAAACAAGCTCTGATTCAAAACAATTTGGTTCATAGAAATACATTAAAATAATGTGAACCCCCCCCCCCTGCTCCGACACCCCCCAAAAATGCTACTGTAAGTAATGTCGGCTTGTGCAAAAAATTCAGACAGAACCGGCTGGGTTACAAGGGTACGTGTACACTATAGTGTTATTGATGGTTGGATTTGAACAGTGCCCCCATTGAAAGTATGGGTACGAGCCGAGGCCCCCCCCCCCCCCCCCCCCCCCCCCCCCCTTTGATTTTATGGAGGCCAAGTGTCTGGAGAAAAAAAAAACTGTCTACATTTCAAGCATTACTGATGAAAAAAAAACCTGCAAAAAATTCTGGATCCGCCCCTGCTCAGCCATCCTTGCCAGAAGGTCACACATTTATTCCCCATCATCATTGACTGGCAAATTTCTTAGGAGACTACCGTTGCGATTGGTACTATTATTGTATGCATGCTTTCTATTCTGCTTCAAAGATACGAGCGGCACCTGAGTTGGTCCAAACAGTTTGTCAGACAGGCCAGAAATTTGACCACGGATGAAGATGACACATCAGCATCGGTTGACGACTTGCCAACATCTTCAGAGAATAACGGAGATCACATGATTCCATTACAAAGCTCAGGGAGTCAAGAAAAGGAAGATGGATGCACACAGAGTGATGATGTCACAGCAGGAATTGATGAGGTCAGTACGGGAACTTGTAGTGTCATGCAAAGAACTGACGATATCGCTTCAAGAACTGAGGATGTCACTTCAAGAACTGATGATGTCACTTCAAGAACTGATGATGTCACTTCAAGAACTGATGTCAGAGCTAGAACTGATGATGTCACTTCAAGAACTGATGATTTCACAACAAGAACTGATGATGACACTTCAAGAACTGATGATGTCACTTCAAGAACTGATGATTTCACAACAGGAACTTATAGTGTCACTTCAAGAACTGATGATGTCGCTTCAAGAACTGATGATGTCACTTCAAGAACTGATGATGTCACTTCAAGAACTGATGATGTAACAACTAGAACTGATGATGTAACAACTAGAAATGATGATGTCACCACAACTTCTGATATGATGGAAGTTTGTGAACTTCCCGAAGCATCATCCAAGTCAGCAATAAATTTAGACGTTACTAATTCAACTGATGAAACTCTTAGAAATAGGAACAGTGATCAAGGCTCTCAATCAGACATGGCAGACAATGCGCAAGTTTCTAGCTCTACATTGCCAGATACGGAGGGAGTAGGGTCAAAGGAGGAAACAGAGGTAAGCATTGAAGATGGTACTATTCCAGCATGTGCTCTGGCTGTTTCAGCTGATGTTCTTACACCCCATGATTTGTTCCTCACAAAGAGGGGAAATTTGGTTTCTCAAAATGTAATGTGTCTGGAGTTCATGTCTGTTTGTATTTGGGTATTGGTGAAGTACTAATGTCCCTAAGCAAGAGCGTTTACAACAACCGTTTCTCTTTAGAGGATAGGTACTTACTTAGTTTGACTTGCCGCTTATTCGCTTACACTCTAAGCTGTGAGCTGATCTACATACTGTGAAACAAGTTTTGGGATCTTAGTGGTAGATTTTTGGTACTAAGATAATAATTGTCTAATCATTTTTTCTGACAGGACCAAAGTTTGATAAGGAAAGAGGACCCGTACGAGATCCACGAATATTTGCAACTCAAGCTTGAAGAGGTAATTACAGCAAAGCTTTTAGGGGTGGGTTAGAGAAGTGGGCATCAGACATCATGTCTAACACCTCAGAATTTTCTTGGACTTGAAATAGACATACTTTTTTTTCACTAGGACATTTAAATTTAAGTTGAATGCAAAGCAACATTTCATGTTTGATTGATTAAGTTGAATTCATGAGTTGTTTTTATTGCAGGCGTTTTTCCTTTCGTACGGACTTGGATGCCTGACAGTCCTTGACGAAAACAAGGTGAAGATATTTGAAAATCTGTCATTTTCTGTTGCTCTGTAATGCAAGAATTTATTTTAAAAGAATATATTTTAAAACTAAAAGTGTTCTTTCAGCAAAATGAAAACAATTCTCGTAGGGATGCATTTGAATTGTTTTCGTTTTGCTGAGAGAACACGTACCTTTTTTTGTGATTCGTGGAATGAACTTTAAAACGGTGGTTGTGTTCAAAATGTCGTAACTTGAAAAATACATGAGTGATTTGAATGATTCTTGTACTAAAAGAAAGCTTAATGACTGGGCTTTCATATCCTAGATTTTGAAAGTGCTACAGACAAAACTTCATTTAAAAATTGGTCCTGCTATTTGGGATGCCTTTTTTTTAACTCACCCTGTAATTACTTTCACTTTAAAGAAAGCCCTGGATTTGACTGAGATGTGGCAGGCTTTCTGCTATAGACAGAGGAACTTCGTGGCCAGCTACGTGGCCTATCACTACTACCGCAGCAAGGGATGGGTGCCGAGGGACGGCCTGAAGTATGGGGCCCATTATGGTGAGTGAATTATATCCCAAAGCTATAAATGTTTAAAGTCTATGGCAGTCCTCGAACATTGAAAGAGAAGTTGTTTATTTTATTTCTTTCTTTCTGGTAATGAAACTGATTATTCCTCAAAAGTGGCCTAGGCACTGTAGCTCAAAAGCCTGAAGAAACCTGTGGAGAGAAGACAATGAGAAGAATTTACATTTTAGAGGTGGGAGAAAAGCCCAGAAGAATATTCTGGGGAAACCCACGGAATCAGGTAGGGACTGAAAACCCAATCCACATGTTGGCCCAGGCGGGATTCGAACCCTGGCCACAGCGGTGGAAGGCGAGGAAAGTACCGCTACGCCAACCTGACTCCTCGAATCCAACTGCTGGTTATTTGTTGTGTCCTTGGGCAAGCCACTTTACTCACATTTGCTTCTGTTGCACCCAGGAGTAAAACAGTTGAAGGCATTAGTGGAGAGTAACCTACAACGGACTGATATCTCATCTACAAGCATTGAAATATTCCATACCACGAAGAACTAGAACGTGATCTGGCACGGTGGTCATTAGTTTGATAAAAATTTAGTTATAATAAACATTTTTTTGTCTTTGGTTATTCAGTGCTTTACAAGCATGGGCCCCCGTTCTACCATGGCAGCTACTCTGTCATTATCCAGATGGTGACTGAGGGATCATGGGATAGCTCCGACACCAGTCCTGTTCTGACCTGGCCGGCTGTCTCCGGTATGGACCGGATCACTGAGACCGTTGCTAAGGTGAGTCCAAAATGCTACATCTCTTATCGATCACAAGAGGTACGTGAAGTTGGTTATTAACCCTCCTGCTCTTTTAAGCAGTCACAGACTGTCAAAATTCACTTCCACTTCCCCTGCTATACTTTTAAGAAAGGCTAGTTACCAGCAGTCAGATCATATGTCAAGCAAGCACTGTGACTAGTTAAACTGGGTCAACAGACAAAGCAGGCAAGTTGTGGTCACAGCTGTTTTATCACTCACTCGGAGTCAAAGCATAGCTGTATCAAGTTACTTAAACAGTCCCAGCCAGTCAATCCTGCTTTGGGCTGGGAATTCTTAAGGGTTATAACCAGTCACTTGATTGATTTTCACTGCAAGGACAACTTGGCACAGGATGTATGTTTGCATAGGAAGGTTAATAAATATGTCATGGTAAAGGCTTATAACTGTTCCATCATTTTGTAGGCCACTATTCATAATGATTGTGAACTTTCAAATGAGTTTTTTCTGTCCCGACCTTCAGGAAGTGGTGTTCTGCTACGTGATACGCCCGTCCGATCTGAGCGATCAGGACATGCAATCGCCACGTTGCATCCCTCGATTCAAGGTACAGGAGATCCTGATGAAGCGATGGGTGTCGTCACGGGAACGGGACGTCAAGGACCACCTACCTCCTCTGATATCATGAACAGCGCCATCTGTTGGCAGAGAGAATCACCTTAGCCCACCATTTTGAAACTAATTTTGTCCGACTTTCTTCGGAATCGTGCGGCAACTCTAAAAATTCTGTCACTAGTAAAATAGCAGTTCATTTACCTCAAACACAAAGCTGTGAGTGTCTTGTATCAACCTTGATAAGTTGTGCAGTAACAGGCGCTACGACGATCACGATTTGCTGGTAAGTGTCAGGTCATTTTTAGTTGCTACCCCACAATTTATGTCACCTAAAATGATTGTGCAAGTTACGCCATGATTTCATTTCACTTATGACACATTTCACGAAAGTCTCATAGATGACTTGTGCACTATGAGACTTTCGTGAAATGTGTCGTAAGTTTTAGCAATATGCTCCAGAGACAGCCGTGGAAAATTGGGAATCTTGATTATTTTCTTTTTTAATCAAAGTGTCATCTTTATGGTTGTTAACTTTTACATGGGATAATTAATATATCGAATATTCTCGATATTTGATTTCCTATATATCGATTATTGAAAAATCTGATATCGACGGTGCTTATTATTTTGAGCCATGCAATTAATGCCATCAAATAATATATTTCAGTGAATACAAATTTTGTATGGCTGATCTTCTGGCAAATTGGCATTTTGAAGAAAAAAAAAGTAATGTCGGTGACAAAACCAATTCATCATGTTATCTAACTATTGTTGCAGAGGAATGACCATAACTCCTAGCCTGCAATCTTCTCGAGCATTACTAAATGATGATTGTACAAAATTTTGAGAAAAAACTTTTCCAGGTTATTCACTGCGCTCCTAAATTACAAACAAATTGTCAGTTTTTGTAATGTCTGTCACAGGTATTGCCTACATATTTTGCAAAATATTTACGTGAGAACTTTTTCGTGATGCAAAATCTTAAAACCTTTTTTTAGAATTTATTTTCTACTAGATAATTTGAATTGACGGAGATGTATTCGGGGGAAAGAATGCTGCAACCTGACGCCACTTTTTTCTTCATATATCAACTCAATGAAGGTCAGTCATTGCAAAAATGATGATAAGACATTTCCAATTTTGTTAGAAAAAAATACTTGGAAAATGTTCTAGACTCTCCATAAACTTTGTACACAACAGCTGAAGTGGCGTCTGGATACTACATTCTTTCCGTATTCTTGATCAATGTCTATGTCCTCCAAATATAGCCTCAATCTAACAAGGACCTTGATGTGTTAAGTCTGTTGACGGAAAATTGTGAACATTTAAAAAAAATTGTGAGTCCCCTTTGAAGATATCAAAGTCACTCAAACTTAGCAAGTTGAACTGAAGATCGTTGGCTTTTTGATGGTTTTACAAAACATAAAACTAGTAAACTTGAAATGAAGAGAATTGGCAATGTAATGACCTGTTAATGTTGTTATAAAACACTCAAAACTGTCGAGCATTGTTAGTGTCGATCTGTTTGGTGGCAAATTAAATTTGATAAAACTTATACTTTCCAACTTATGAATAACCAGAAACCGACTTGAAAACAACATTCAATCGCCCAATATTTTGAAGATTTGGGCAAAAAGCACGTATTTTTTGTACAAAAACCACCATTTTTGATTGATTTTACCCCAAATTTTCGTCGAAATTTAATTTTGAAGAGCACACCTGTCCAGAAATCGAATTGGAATGTGTTCTAGGATCCCTTACGGATCTTTTGAGTAAGTTTAAAGTAATTTGATTTTTTGGTCAAAATTGAAAAAATTGCAAGGGGTTAGCCTTACATTTTTAACGAAAATTGACCAAAAATTGACTTTTCTTTAAACAATGCCGAAATTCACCTGGAGGCAAGAGGAGGATGAATCAACATTCAATCGCCCAATATTTTGAAGATTTGGGCAAAAATCATGGATTTGTTTGTAAAAAAACTCACAATTTTTGAGTGATTTTACCCCAAATTTTCGTCGAAATTTAATTTTGAAGAACACACCTGTCCAGAAATCGATTTGGAATGTGTTCAAGGATCCCTTAGGCATCTTTTGAGCAAGTTTAAAGCAATTTGATATTTTGGTCAAAATTGAAAAAATTGCAAGGGGTTAGCCTTACATTTTTAACGAAAATTGACCAAAAATTGACTTTTCTTTAAACAATGCCGAAATTCACCTGGAGGCAAGAGGAGCATGAATCAACATTCAATCGCCCAATATTGTGAAGATTTGGGCAAAAATCATGGATTTGTTTGTAAAAAACTCACAATTTTTGAGTGATTTTACCCCACATGTTCGTCAAAATTTAATTTTCAAGGGGTTAGCCTTACATTTTTAACGAAAATTGACCAAAAATTTACTTTTCTTTAAACAATGCCGAAATTCACCTGGAGGCAAGAGGAGTTTGAATCAACATTCAATCGCCCAATATTGTGAAGATTTGGGCAAAAAGCATGGATTTTTTTTGAAAAAAAACCGCCATTTGATTTTTTGGTCAAAATGGAAAAAATTGCAAGGGGTTAGCCCTACATTTTTTTAAGGCTAACCTCTTACATTTATGAATTTCCAGAAATAGTCAAATTTTGCCCAATAATGATAAAAATTCAAGGCTATGCCCTTACCTTTTTGATTTTCCAGAAAATTTTGATCAATTTTGATAAAAATGCAAGGCTAACCCCTTACATTTTTGATTTTCGGAAAAATTTGAAAAAAATGCAAGGCTAACCCCTTACATTTGTGAATTTCCAGAAAATGTCAAATTTTACTCAATTTTGATAAAAATGCAAGGCTAACCCCTTTCATTTTTGATTTTCCAGAAAAATCAAATTTTGCCCAATTTTGATAAAAATGCAAGGCTAACCCCTTACATTTGTGAATTTCGAGAAAATGTCAAATTTTGCTCAATTTTGATAAAAATGCAAGGCTAACCCCTTAAATTTTTGATTTTCCAGAAAAATCAAATTTTGCCCAATTTTGATAAAAATGCAAGGCTAACCCCTTACATTTTTGATTTTCGGAAAAAAGTCAAATTTTGCCCAATTTTGATAAAAATGCAAGGCTAACCCCTTACATCTTTTATTTTCAGAAAAAAGTCAAATTTTGATAAAAATGCAAGGCTAACCCCTTACATTTGTGAATTTCTAGAAAATGTCGAATTTTGCTCAATTTTGATAAAAATGCAAGGCTAACCCCTTACCTTTTTGATTTTCCAGAAAAAGTCAAATTTTGATCAATTTTGATAAAAATGCAAGGCTAACCCCTTACATTTTTGAATTCGGAAAAAAGTCAAATTTTGCCCAATTTTGAAAAAAAATGCAAGGCTAGCCCCTTACATTTGTGAATTTCCAGAAAAAGTCAAATTTAGCCCTATTTTGATAAAAATGCAAGGCTAACCCCTTACATTTGTGAATTTCCAGAAAATGTCAAATTTTGCCCAATTTTGATAAAAATGCAAGGCTAACCCCTTACCTTTTTGATTTTCCAGAAAAGTCTAATTTTGCCCAATTTTGTTAAAAATTCAAGGCTAACCCCTTACATTGGTGAATTTCCAGAAAAAATCACATTTTGCTCAATTTTGATAAAAATGCAAGGCTAACCCCTTACCTTTTTGATTTTCCAGAAAAGTCTAATTTTGCCCAATTTTGTTAAAAATTCAAGGCTAACCCCTTACATTGGTGAATTTCCAGAAAAAATCACATTTTGCTCAATTTTGATAAAAATGCAAGGCTAACCCCTTACATTTGTGAATTTCCAGAAAATTTCAAATTTTGATCAATTTTGATAAAAATGCAAGGCTAACCCCTTACATTTTTGATTTTCGGAAAAAAAGTCAAATTTTGCCCAATTTTGATAAAAATGCAAGGCTAACCCCTTATATTTGTGAATTTCTAGAAAATGTCAAATGTTACTCAATTTTGATAAAAATGCAAGGCTAACCCCTTACATTTTTGATTTTCCAGAAAAATCAAATTTTGCCCAAATTTTGATAAAAATGCAAGGCTAACCCCTTACATTTTTGATTTTCCAGAAAAATCAAATTTTGCCCAATTTTGATAAAAATGCAAGGCTAACCCCTTACATTTTTGATTTTCCAGAAAAATCAAATTTTGCCCAATTTTGATAAAAATGCAAGGCTAACCCCTTACATCTTTTATTTTCAGAAAAAAGTCAAATTTTGATGAAAATGCAAGGCTAACCCCTTACATTTGTGAATTTCTAGAAAAAGTCACATTTTGCTCAATTTTGATAAAAATGCAAGGCTAACCCCTTACATTTGTGAATTTCCAGAAAATTTCAAATTTTGATCAATTTTGATAAAAATGCAAGGCTAACCCCTTACATTTTTGATTTTCGGAAAAAAAAGTCAAATTTTGCCCAATTTTGATAAAAATGCAAGGCTAACCCCTTATATTTGTGAATTTCGAGAAAATGTCAAATTTTACTCAATTTTGATAAAATGCAAGGCTAACCCCTTACATTTTTGATTTTCCAGAAAAATCAAATTTTGCCCAATTTTGATAAAAATGCAAGGCTAACCCCTTACATTTTCGATTTTCAGAAAAAAAGTCAAATTTTGCCCAATTTTGATAAAAATGCAAGGCTAACCCCTTACATTTGTGAATTTCGAGAAAATGTCAAATTTTGCTCAATTTTGATAAAAATGCAAGGCTAACCCCTTACATTTTTAATTTTCCAGAAAAATCAAATTTTGCCCAATTTTGATAAAAATGCAAGGCTAACCCCTTACATCTTTTATTTTCAGAAAAAAGTCAAATTTTGATAAAAATGCAAGGCTAACCCCTTACATTTGTGAATTTCTAGAAAAAGTCACATTTTGCTCAATTTTGATAAAAATGCAAGGCTAACCCCTTACATTTGTGAATTTCGAGAAAATGTCAAATTTTGCTCAATTTTGATAAAAATGCAAGGCTAACCCCTTACATTTTTGATTTTCCAGAAAAATCAAATTTTGCCCAATTTTGATAAAAATGCAAGGCTAACCCCTTACATCTTTTATTTTCAGAAAAAAGTCAAATTTTACTCAATTTTGATAAAAATGCAAGGCTAACCCCTTACATTTTTGATTTTCCAGAAAAATCAAATTTTGCCCAATTTTGATAAAAATGCAAGGCTAACCCCTTACATTTGTGAATTTCCAGAAAAAGTCACATTTTGCTCAATTTTGATAAAAATGCAAGGCTAACCCCTTACATTTGTGAATTTCCAGAAAATTTCAAATTTTGATCAATTTTGATAAAAATGCAAGGCTAACCCCTTACATTTTTGATTTTCGGAAAAAAAGTCAAATTTTGCCCAATTTTGATAAAAATGCAAGGCTAACCCCTTATATTTGTGAATTTCGAGAAAATGTCAAATTTTACTCAATTTTGATAAAATGCAAGGCTAACCCCTTACATTTTTGATTTTCCAGAAAAATCAAATTTTGCCCAATTTTGATAAAAATGCAAGGCTAACCCCTTACATTTTCGATTTTCAGAAAAAAAGTCAAATTTTGCTCAATTTTGATAAAAATGCAAGGCTAACCCCTTACATTTGTGAATTTCCAGAAAATTTCAAATTTTTGCTCAATTTTGATAAAAATGCAAGGCTAACCCCTTACATTTTTGATTTTCGGAAAAAAGTCAAATTTTGCCCAATTTTGATAAAAATGCAAGGCTAACCCCTTACATTTTTGATTTTCGGAAAAAAGTCAAATTTTGCCCAATTTTGATAAAAATGCAAGGCTAACCCCTTACATTTTTGATTTTCCAGAAAAATCAAATTTTGCCCAATTTTGATAAAAATGCAAGGCTAACCCCTTACATTTTTGATTTTCGGAAAAAAGTCAAATTTTGCCCAATTTTGATAAAAATGCAAGGCTAACCCCTTATATTTGTGAATTTCTAGAAAATGTCAAATGTTACTCAATTTTGATAAAAATGCAAGGCTAACCCCTTACATTTTTGATTTTCCAGAAAAATCAAATTTTGCCCAATTTTGATAAAAATGCAAGGCTAACCCCTTACATTTTTGATTTTCCAGAAAAATCAAATTTTGCCCAATTTTGATAAAAATGCAAGGCTAACCCCTTACATTTTTGATTTTCCAGAAAAATCAAATTTTGCCCAATTTTGATAAAAATGCAAGGCTAACCCCTTACATCTTTTATTTTCAGAAAAAAGTCAAATTTTGATGAAAATGCAAGGCTAACCCCTTACATTTGTGAATTTCTAGAAAAAGTCACATTTTGCTCAATTTTGATAAAAATGCAAGGCTAACCCCTTACATTTGTGAATTTCCAGAAAATTTCAAATTTTGATCAATTTTGATAAAAATGCAAGGCTAACCCCTTACATTTTTGATTTTCCAGAAAAATCAAATTTTGCCCAATTTTGATAAAAATGCAAGGCTAACCCCTTACATCTTTTATTTTCAGAAAAAAGTCAAATTTTGATAAAAATGCAAGGCTAACCCCTTACATTTGTGAATTTCGAGAAAATGTCAAATTTTGCTCAATTTTGATAAAAATGCAAGGCTAACCCCTTACATTTTTGATTTTCCAGAAAAATCAAATTTTGCCCAATTTTGATAAAAATGCAAGGCTAACCCCTTACATCTTTTATTTTCAGAAAAAAGTCAAATTTTACTCCATTTTGATAAAAATGCAAGGCTAACCCCTTACATTTTTGATTTTCCAGAAAAATCAAATTTTGCCCAATTTTGATAAATATGCAAGGATAACCCCTTACATTTGTGAATTTCCAGAAAAAGTCACATTTTGCTCAATTTTGATAAAAATGCAAGGCTAACCCCTTACATTTGTGAATTTCCAGAAAATTTCAAATTTTGATCAATTTTGATAAAAATGCAAGGCTAACCCCTTACATTTTTGATTTTCGGAAAAAAAGTCAAATTTTGCCCAATTTTGATAAAAATGCAAGGCTAACCCCTTATATTTGTGAATTTCGAGAAAATGTCAAATTTTACTCAATTTTGATAAAATGCAAGGCTAACCCCTTACATTTTTGATTTTCCAGAAAAATCAAATTTTGCCCAATTTTGATAAAAATGCAAGGCTAACCCCTTACATTTTCGATTTTCAGAAAAAAAGTCAAATTTTGCTCAATTTTGATAAAAATGCAAGGCTAACCCCTTACATTTGTGAATTTCCAGAAAATTTCAAATTTTTGCTCAATTTTGATAAAAATGCAAGGCTAACCCCTTACATTTTTGATTTTCCAGAAAAATCAAATTTTGCCCAATTTTGATAAAAATGCAAGGCTAACCCCTTACATTTTTGATTTTCGGAAAAAAGTCAAATTTTGCCCAATTTTGATAAAAATGCAAGGCTAACCCCTTACATTTGTGAATTTTGAGAAAATGTCCAATTTTGCTCAATTTTGATAAAAATGCAAGGCTAACCCCTTACATTTTTGATTTTCCAGAAAAATCAAATTTTGCCCAATTTTGATAAAAATGCAAGGCTAACCCCTTACATTTGTGATTTTCAAGAGAATTTCAAATTTTGATCAATTTTGATAAAAATGCAAGGCTTATCCCTTACATTTTTGATTTTCGGAAAAAAGTCAAATTTTGCCCAATTTTGATAAAAACGCAAGGCTAACCCCTTACATTTGTGAATTTTCAGAAAAAGTCAAATTTTGCTCAATTTTGATTAAAATGCAAGGCTAACCCCTTACATTTGTGATTTTCCAGAGAATTTCAAATTTTGCTCAATTTTGATAAAAATGCAAGGCTAACCCCTTACATTGGTAAATTGCCAGAATTTTGGACTGATTTTACCCCAAATTTTCGTCGAAATTTAATTTTGAAGAGCACACCTGTCCAGAAATCGAATTGAAATGTGTTCTAGGATCCCTTAGGCATCTTTTGAGCAAGTTTAAAGCAATTTGATTTTTTTGGTCAAAATTGAAAAAATTGCAAGGGGTTAGCCTTACATTTTTAACGAAAATTGACCAAAAATTGACTTTTCTTTAAACAATGCAGAAATTCATCTGGAGGCAAGAGGAGCATGAATCAACATTCAATTGCCCAATATTTTGAAGATTTGGGGAAAAATTATTGATTGATTGTAGAAAAACAATTACCATTTTTGAGTAAAATTACCCGAACTTTTCGTTGAAATTTCATTTTGAAAAGCACAAAACTCAAATTTGAATGTGTACTAGGATCCCTTGGGCATCTTTTCAGCAAGTTTGAAGCAATTTCATTTTTCACAAACAATGTTAGCGAACACAAACAAGAAATTAGATCTTTCGTTAAAATTGTTTTAATTGGCCAGAATTATCCTATATTTCTCCTGCATAATTGTTTATAAATTCCTTTCAATCCTCTCCCTCTCAAGAAACCCTGATAAAGATTAAATTTACAATATACTTACACATTTACGTCTTAATAATGCCTCACAATTTTGTCACTTTAAATGTAAATACTGCGAAATTAATAAATCAGTTATGTAAAATTATTTACACTCGTCCAATTTACTGTTCAAAATGCCTTTGCACGTACACTAACATTATACAGGGTTTGGGTTTTATTACTGATATTGTTTGTCGTCTGGGCACAAGACAAGCTATGGAATTAGTAATCTTAAAACAAAAGATCTTATGGCCAAACAGTAAGCAAAAGAAGTTGAGGATTTATCAATCGCTGAAGTGTCAGGACAACAAATCCTGACTTTTAATTTAGAAGCTTACTTGGCAAATGTTACCTTTCACTATGCTTTCATATTTTTAAGACAAAAGCAAGTATTTGTTGTTGACCTCTGACGTGACAAAAATAAGTAATTTCAATTAAAAAATTATTGTGCCGGTAAAATTATACAAATAATTACCACTATGGAAAATGGTACATAAGGAGACATTCCCATACTGCTGCACAAAAAATCCTAACTTGAATGACCCCTAAACCTAACCTTATCCTACCCTCACCAAAGTTTGTAAATTGGGGTTTTGCGTCACCAGGAATTGATGTAGCCTATTTGCAGTAACAACATTTTTAAAGGCCTGGAAACATTAAAGAGACATTCACATGTCTCCCTCTCCCTAGGGTATAACTTTTGATTACAACATGTGACCCTAAAAGATACATTTACAGAAATGTAGGACAGTTTAAAAGCGGCCCAAAAATCAGACAACTGAAAGTTTCACCAAGAAAGGTCTGGTTCCAAGTCTTCTTTACACAGATACAGTACATCAGATAATCAAAGGTTTGGACTACCATACAACTTTGGAAAACAAATGTTAAAATGACAATCTTTATATGAAAATGTACAGCACCTTGTCCTTGACACAAGCCTATACTTCATGTCAAAAACAGAGCTGTTAACAAAGTGGAAGCTGAAATGTTTTCTAATTTTGGGCAAAGAACATTGACCAATGACATGCAAAGAAGTAATCACATGACCTACTCGTATTTGTTTCTTAATATAAATTCAATTACTTATTATCTTGAAGTAGACTTTAAATGTCGAATAGTTTGTGTATTATGTGGAAAGAATAAGTAGACAGAGGTTTGAGTGGTTTTGAGGCACTTTTGGGCGTCAAAAAGTTTCGTTAATTCATATTTTTGTACGTGTACATGTATACAGGACCTATCGCATAATTTACCATTAAAAATGTTGCCATTTTTGCAATAATACCCAAGGAAGAACATCACACATGCTTTAATAGGGGGCAAATGAATATATTAATTGTGAACCTATTTTTCAGAACATTCTGTGGCAATTTTGCTATATTTAACAAACAAATTGAAAAAAAAGGGTGAAATTTTCAGAATATTTTTTTTAGTGTGTATAAAGTCAACAAATTTTTTTTCTGAATATTTTTTTTACCACTGAGCATTTGAATTACTTTAAAAAGAAAAGAAAACTTGAAAAGAAAACTTAGCCACTCAGTAATTTCTTCAAGTTTTCGTAATTAACAGACATAATTCACCATCACAAAATGTTACATATTGTCACGCTCTTGCCGTTCACAGTCCGAATTTAAATAATCGCACACATTCCACAATGGCAAGATTACTGTCATTTACAAATTTAAAAAGAAATTGCCATCCTTTTATGTAGCAATCTTTGGCAATTTTGTGAAAATTTTTTTTTTTCTGTGCCCAGAGGGCCAGAACAGTGTTTCACTTATGAGCCGGGCAGTGCTATCATATAGGATTACCTCGTAACCTTCAAACCATGTCTATAACTCAATTTAACTTTGTTTGCGACATAATACCCTTTTGTAAAGTGGGCCACGAAAACGGAACAGAATTGTTTGCACTCTTGACCAGCTTTTTAAGTTACTGGGAAGTATCGTGCAATCTGTTATGGCTAACACAGTTATATCTTTAAGGAGAATATATTTTTTGTGGAAAACAAAAAGAGCCATTCGCTTTAATGATTGACCTTCCAGCATTTCACACTTAATGTCTAAGCAGGACGCCTGCAAGAACTTTTGTACAAAAGTTAAAATACACATGTACATTTACCAACTTTCTATTTTGTACAATTACATGTAAGTACTTCCAATTTTTTTTTTCATTCACATTGTCTCTTTTCCTCTACAGAATTTATGTTCTTTCTTTTCAGGATTAAAATATAGATTAGGAAAAGGTCACAAAATATAAATGTAGAGATACAAGTTCTTTTTACTGAATTCTCCGGTCTGGAGTACAACATGTGGACAAGGGTGAAAATGTGAGAATGTCGGTATCAAAAGACATTGATGTGAAAAGATAAAATTTTGAGTTTATATGATTCACAGAGACTTCAGTTATATAGTAATGCAGCCATCTTGTTACAGAAAAATGTAGTGGAAACTTACTGTACAATATTACACATTATTGTGACCTCATAGTAAATATTTTTAGTATGTTTCTCTAGTTTTTTAAAAAATGACACTCAGTTTCTTTTTGTGTGTGTGTGAATAAATTAAGTCATTTTTTTTGGCAAATGAATTTTTTGGACAATGATTTAGTTTCACAAGATCTCTATTGGAATTAAATAAACAGGGCTCCACACTTGCATGTGGCTACTGTACATACCTTTTGATTGTGGGGGTGGGGCTGGGTCGTGGGGTAAGGGGTGGGGGTAGGGCTGGGGGTGAGGGGTGGGGTGAATGTAGGGGGTGATATGGGGTAGGGGGTGGGTGTTGGGATGGGGTTTTGGCATGACTGTTCCATTTCATGCACCGAAAAACAAGCAAAGAAAACATTTGCTTAGCAACTCTTGATTTGAGGGTCAGGGTTCAAAACCTGCTGCTGGCCGTATGTCGTGTCCTTGGGCAAGCCACTTTACCTCCACTTGACTCCGATGTAAAAAAAAAATGGGAAACAGGATTAGCTGGGTGTATGATGGTAAGGAAATGCAACTCGTCATCAGAGGGTTAGGGGTTTGAATCCTGACGCGGGCAATATATTGTGTCCTTGGGCAAGCCACTTTACCTGTACCTCTTTCCATCCGGCATGCCTGGTGTCGAAAATGGGTAACAGGATTCGCTGAGAAGTAAGCTGCGTTGGACTGGCATCCCATCCAGGCAGAATAGAAATATTCTCAGTCGGGGTCCGGTCCCAGTTTGTGGATGATGCTGATCACAGGATGAGTCTTGGGGAGAACTGTTACTGTAGCAGCATCCAACAATTTGGCATGAAGTCTTAACTTTGCTTTCTTTACATTGTCAGCAAGAAAAATAAAATAAAATAGTATTCCACATTCCGTCCGCTGGAATTTAAGCCACGACAAATAAAATCCTGCCTCGAATGGACTGGCTTACAAAACACTGATTCCAATACTAATAAGCTGTCTTCATCTTTTCAAAAAGTTTTCGTTTTCCTTTTGTCCGTGAAGATCAGACGATGACTAGCTACAAATAATCAGCTTAGGAAGTTACATCGCGATACAGCGAGCTCCATGCTGCGATTAAAAATTGTCTCTTTTTTGGGTGAATTCTTTCGCTGGCCGCTCCAAGCTTGGCTTTTAAATCCTCAACCAAAAACTGAAGAATTCTCTTTGCACTTTTTTGTCCAAGAAGATGAGCTTTTCTTCACAGCATTGCAGTAATCAACACAAGAGCATCGTTCAATCAGGCCTTACGTTTTGCCAAATCCAGGCTGCTCACAAAGCAAATTCTTCCTAAGTTCGGACGAGTCTGTTCCTCTCCTGCTAAGCTGCCACTAACTTAAAACTCACATCGTTCCTCAATTTTTGCGACTCCGAGATGTAACACCTTTCTCAACCGATTTTTTTTACTGGCAGCAAGTTTCTTTCAATCCCAACGTCAAGTTATTTTAGTTCTTTGGGGTTTGCCTAATTCGTGGCTCGTCATTAAAAAATGTCGGGGCATTTGGTGTATTTCCGGTCCCAGTAGTTGCCTTTTAGGACCCAGTCTTGCTCCCCGGTGTTGGGATTGATGTCCAGCTTGAACCACAGCGGGGACCAGGTCTCCTTGCTCTTGCTGCGGTGTTTGCGCGTCGCCCGCTGTTTCTCCTCCAAACGGTGCTTCTCGTCGGACGCAGAATCTGTAAGAAGAGTGGATATTTAAGGCAAAAAAAAAAAATGTCGGTCTCTGGTCAGTGCGCGCGTCGATTTTAATCATGCGCGTCAATCTTTTTTTTATACAAAATGTTCTGCGGTAGCTCCAACAGCGCCCTCTATTGCCGCACCTCCTCAATTTTTTTTTAACAAAGAGCACCAAGGAATGGGGAATTGCACCAAGGCAAATGATCGAGAGCACCAAGGCAAATTATGGAGGACACCAATGTACATGAGGACACAAAAAAGCAAAATAGTACCCCACCTTGTCTGTACAATCTAAGCTTGAAGAAAAAAAAAAAAGCCGCGTCCCCGCGTCAATTCCGGAACTTTGGTCTGACCAGAGACCGAATATTTTTTTTTTTGGCCTAAGTCCAAATATGTAGAAACTTGCAACCCTGTGTGCACAGGTACCCATTCAACAGTAAAAATTTACAGCACTATTTTGATCACACAGTCGTAACTACAGTACACGTTTGAAAAGGGTACAAATAAACTTAAAACTTAGGTTGCATAGACGTCAAAAGACTGCAAACAGCCGTTACTTGAGCTTGTTGACAGGATGATTGATTATCTATGCCTTGCGGCGAGGCCAGCTAGACTCACTATAATGATCTTATTACGCAAACATGTGAATCTTGTCAGGAGGCTGGGGTTTGGCTAGGAATTTCAGGGTCAATGGTTCAATCTACTTGAAAAGGGCACTCACAATGTTATTTGGCCATGTTTGAATGAGGAACTCGTGAACTATGACATTTTTAGACAATAAATCATGATCCCACAGCGCCCTTTAAAGGATACTTGGATGCAACTGCCAACTAGCGCTAATGCTCGGAGGAATTTGTTGGAAGTGAAGATGTCAGTTTCTGCAAAATCATAGCTGAAAATTGGTCGTGCGTACCTCTGCACAATACACATGCAAGCCAGCGCACAGACATGATGCATCTTTGACTGACTCTGATATACCAAGCACGATATGAGGCCGAGGGGTACCCCCAAGCTTTGTGTGCTAAGCACTTATTTTGTGCTTAGGAGAAATCAGATCTGCTTACCGATGTCTCCGTTCTCCATGCATCGGATGTCGGGACGGAATCTTGCGTCAGTGGGCGGCAGGTGAGTCTTCATCTGTTCTGTCAGCTCGTTGAGTCTTATTGCAAACAGTGTGAAGTTATAATACTGGAGAAAATAAAATAGATAACGAAAACGTTATTAAAATGTGAGGGTGACAGTTCATCTGTGTTGATGATTAGATCTCAAATCTTGTCTTAAGTTTTGATCTAAAAACAAATGAAAATCTCATACCTGAAATTTTCGAACTGAAATCGTTCGTCATCGGTAGGATGACATGGATATTGAGTCTGTGACCTTATGGACGTGTCCTTTTAAAAACCGGAGCACAGCCAGAGATCGAAAGTGTTTGATTTTTTTTCTAGGAGAAAAACCCTCGTGGTATAGGAGAGAACCAACGCACAACTCTACTCACATATGGTCTGAGCCAGGAATCAAACCCGGGCCACAGTGGTGAGAGGCAAGCGCTTTACGCACTAGCCACCCGTGCCACCCTTTAGGGTGTCAAGGCTGTTTTTGGCTGTTTTGTCAGTCTCTGGCTAGGTTGTACTTTACAAAAAAAATTCCCATTGACGTCATTCTCTGGCTAGGTTGTACTTTACAAAAAAAATTCCCACTGACGTCATAAAATGTTAGAGCGCCCTCTAGCGGCAGGTTGAGAAAATGTTACATGTCACATGTGACAAAAAAAGTTGCCGAAACAGCCCTGTGTTTGTCCACAACCAAAGTAAGACTAATTTTAATTATTTTTTTTTAAGGGGAGGGGGGGAAGAGGGGGGTTTCCCGTTACCTGTGTGGAGTTGTCTGGCCTCGCTGTGTTGTGCCACAGCAGCTGCGCATTGTTGAATTCCTCACCCTCGGGATTGAGGGGCATGTCATACGTGACCTGCATGAAAGGGTCAGAAGGTCAAAGTTTACGTAACAAGTTACATTAGGCAAGAGCATTAGAACGTTACACTATCAAACTATTTGTATGTTTGGAGCTCGTCACTTTGCAAATTAGAATATATTCTTACGTGATCAGAGGGGCTGCCCGATCCGTGGCCGAGGCCATGCCGGTGGTGGCGTTTCTTCTCTTCTTTCCTCGCGCCGTCGTAGTTCTCAGGATCCATGGCGTACAGGTACTCCGTCCACTTGCCAAACAGCATGACAATCTTCTCGTCACTGATTGCAAAGAATGATAAAACGAGGCAGTGTAGAAGTCAAGATCATCACAAGTCCATCACAGTTGTCAGGAAAAGCATGAAACATTTTCAATGTTTAAAAAATACTGCAAGTAAAACTTGCGCGATCCCCTTGGCATCCTGGCAGTTTGTATACATGCACAGGCAGTTAGTACGGACAATTTTTAGTGACGACCTTGATTGTCCACCCGACAGGTACCAGTTCTCAGTTGAATGGGGAGCTTGGGTTGAATAGAGAGTTTGGGTGAGACACCGGACTAATATATGTTAGAGTCATTAGTATCTCTCCAGAGACCTCGTAAATATCCATATTGGAAAGGATTTTTTTGACATCATCAGCCTTCTCTCCACAGACTACCATTCAAGTTTGGTTGAGATTGATGACTGAACTTTACAGTGAAATGGAACACACCCGCACATGCATTCATCCTCAATCCTTCAAAATCCTCCAAAACAGCCAGGCGTAACATAATGTAGTGTACATATACTAATGGGTACAGAAACTCAGACTTACTTCTTGTTTGTGATGTAGCCCTCTACCTTATGTAGATCTTTGCCGAACCAGCCGGCCGGCTTGAAGTGTAGGAAGCACTTGTGGCCCGTCCTATGGTTGGTCATCTCCAACAGGCCGTACATCTCGATCCACAGCTTGCCCACGATGAGGTTGTGTAGACAACTGCTGGGGTTGTGCCACGTGTACGTCTCATTGTACCTAGGACGAGAGGTTACATTAGAGAAAATATTAGATTTCTCAAAATTCATTAAAAAAATTGGCCATTCAAAAAAACATTTTCAAACATTTTTCCAGTCCCTGTTACGTCTGTGTAACAGTGGTCTCTTGTGGTCTAGCAGTACAGCACAGAATTCATGAGCTTGAGGTTGTGGGTTCGAGCCCCGCTGTGGCCATGCGTGTTGTACCCTTGAGTTAGGCGCTTTACCTCAATTACTCCTCTCAACCCAGGTGTTAAATGGGTACCGGCATTATTCAATGCTGGGAAGGTAACAGACTCGCTGTGGAGGAGGTGTGGCGATCCCCCCACAGCAGCATATGAGTCTGGCCCAATCGCTAACGAAAGAGAGATGGGCACTCCGTTCCTGTGAACACAGGTTCGTCCCCTTTACCTTTTTTTTTTACTTCTGAACTTATTCTGCATGAACTACATGAGCATAAACTCGACTCACTTAGGGATAGTCACGGTGACCACGCCCTTGGGTAAAACCTCAAGGCTCTTCCCCCAGAATTTTAGCTTCGGGTAGATAGATCCGTGGAACTCAAAGTACGGTGAGGTGCAATGGAAGGCGCTGACCGGGGGATGGTGGCTGACTTGCTCGAGGACAATCTTCATATCCATGTCATCCCTGGAGGAAGGAAACCAACAAACGTTTAAAGGGAATATACAACATTTGCAAACATCGAAAAATAAAACTACCAAGTTTTTACGAAATACCTTACTAGGATGTTGGTAAATGATAGTCTCAAGCATTTTGTAAAATTATGGCACCTGGTGTCGAGTCATTTTCAAGAAAACGGTATTTTTGTATACATTTCCAACGGTGGTCGGCCGACCACCTTTGGAAAAACCTAACTATTTTTCAACTACTGCTCCAAATTTACAATTTTTTTCAGTCCAAATGTTATTTGCTATTGGTTACATGTTCATGAACGGGTGCAGGCCAGCTAGACTGGTTCCCTTTTCTTACAATTTTCCGACATCTATAAATTGATCCATTTTATCTTTAGTGGAGTCAGGGAACCAGACTACTTAAACAGTTTTGTTTTTCTTGGTTTTTCAAGCATTTTCGAACACAAAACTTCAAACATGTCAGTTAAAGGGAAAATACAACATTTGCAAACATCAAAAAATAAAACTACCAAATCATTTTGAAATACCTTGCTGGACTGTTAGTGAATGACAGTGTAAAGCATCCTGTAAAATCATGGCACCTGGTATACTGTCATTTTCAAGAAAAGTGGTATTTTTGTATCAATTTCCAACGCTGATCGGCCGATCAGCGTTGGAAAAAAACTGGCTTTTTTTCTTCAAATACTGGCCCCAGTTGACCATCGCACTTGTTTGCAATCGATTACACACCTATGAACGGGTACAAGCCAGCTGGACTGGTTCCCTGACCTCACAATTCCCCAATGTATGTAAACTGCTCTGTTTCTTCTTAAATGGAGCCAGGGAACCAGACTTCAGGAAAATGATTGTTTTTCTTGTTTTTTTTATAGCATTTTTGAACCCAAAACCTCAAAAAAGTCAGTGTAACTATGTTTGCTATATATTTCGAACCCCCCAATTCCATCCATTTCTGAAAATTACAGCAAAAGCAAATGATGTATATTCCCTTTAAACAATATTTGATCTACTATACTAACCCCTCAAATAGTTCATTTCTGAGAATTACAGCAAAAGCCAATGATGTACATTCCCTTTAACCCTTCTATTCTTTCAATATCTTCAAACCCTTCAAGTCTGACAGACCCACTCACTGGCCTGCCTGGGAGAAAGGAACCATGACTTGCGCTTGAAATGATTTGCACTTAATTCACAGAAATATTCACACATACTGCAATTTGGAGTTATCCTTGTAGAGTTATTTTTTTGTTCTCGCGTACTAACATTTTGAGTTTGAAAATCTAGTTTCAAAATGCTCTTATTTTAACCAGAATTAATTTGCTGGGCTGAAATTCGGATTTAATATCCCTTACATAAAATACTTCAATTTGCAACAGATCAACACAACTTATAAATTCCTAGTTTTTGAGTAAAATCCATATATTTATTTCGTGATTACCTTGTGGAGAGGTATTCTCCTATAGAAATTGCCCTGTGGAGACGTATTTAATCTTTTGTTCCCTATTGTGCACATGTCTCCACAGGGTACCGTGTATCAGATCGACAGTATCGCACGACAAAATCGTGTATGTGGAAATTGACCTTACAGATTAAGTTTTGCATTTTCATCAGTAGAGGGCGCTATACACAACGTCCATACGGTTTACCTGACTAGTTCATACGTCTCTCCCAATAGTGGGTTGAAAGGCTTGCTAAGCCGGTCTAGGTTGGAAGCCCCAGCTGCCATGGCGAACGTTGCTACATACTGTGGGAAAACAAACCAAAGGAGTCAGGATACCAGTCCATGAGGGAATTGTTAAACACATCCGAAATGTGCAATTCCGGTTCAGCGTATTTTGGAGTGTACCTTGCCCTACTGTAGCACTAAGTCAGCATTAACCACTTCGCGCCAGGATAACATTTGTATTTTGCACGGAAATTGCCGTTTTCGATGGTTTACGGAATTTTAAACACAACCACCGTTTTACAGTACTGTCCACGGATCACAAAGAAGTTCAGTGTTCTTTCAGCAAAAAGAAAACAAATCACATAAGGATGTGTGTGAATTGTTTTCGTTTTGCTGAAATAAAGCACACCTTTTTTGTGATGCGCGGACAGAACTTTAAAGTGGTGGCTGTGTTTAAAATTCCGTAACTTGAAAAGTACATGAGTGATTTGAATGATTCTTGTACTAAAAGAAAGCTTATGAATTGGACTTTCATATCCTAGATTTTCAAAGTGCTACATGCAGAACTTCACTAAAACAATGGTCCCGACATTTGGGTTTCGTTTTTTTTGACTGAAAGATTGTTGTACCTTCATTCTCTCCACCGGATCGTCGCTCATTGCAGCCTTGTACAGCAACTGACAGTGCTCTGTGTACTCGCAGAACCGTTGTAGAAAGCTCAGCGGCTCATTAAACACCACAGGCATGGTGATCTTGGATAACTCCTTGCCTATGCACTGCTTGAGGACAGTCCAGAGACTGAACTGGTCCCGACGGATCATGACCGCGGGCAACTTCGTCCTTCAGGTTTAAGAAAAAAAAAAAAATTAGTTAAGTTTATTTATCATGATGACAGCATATAGGATCATGTGCATTTCGTGCATTTTATTCGTTTCCAATCATAACACCACTCAAAATCCAAAGAATGTTCAAAACCTAACCTGTTGAAGTTTCAGCTCGGTGGATATTACACTTTTTGAGAAAACATTGAAAAACCAAGCACAACCTTTTGATCACAACACATGACTTCGTCAATGGCACTCTTTATTTCCAAAAAATCAATCAATTGACTGATCGTTGCAAGTCACCTACATTTCTTGATTTCTTCTTAACGACAGCAAGCCAGACGGAAAAATTTCATGGGGCATTTAGTACCGGTACAATCTTGAACCCTAACCACCCCAAACCCTTCAAAAGCCAACTTCATGTTTTGATGGAATCTGTTGGAGTAAGGAATGCACTAGTAAACTGATTATGCTTTACATGGGGTCAGGCATGGCACCATAATCAGAGTCAAACAGTTTGGGTGTTGAGTTTACCATATGATGTTGGATGTTGCAAGAGTGAGGACAGTTCCTAGTAAATCACTCAAGGGGTTAGGTTAATCCAAGTTAGCTGTTTGATAATAATTTGGTACAATGTAGGTTACTTTTAGGATCAATTTCAAATGATCCTATATGCCTTTAAGCCCAGATCTTGATAGTTATCATGAAGATAACATCTTTTAGATAACAAAACTTCTCTAAACAATGCTCTGAATCACACAGGAAATATTCTCCATGGACAAATAAACAATGGCAAAACATCCTGTGCTTTTTGCCGATGAACACTTTCGACACGGACACTGGACACTTCCCGCGGAAGGCAATGGACAGGAAAAGTTGCTTTTGTGAAAAAGGAACAAACAAGAAAGGAAACAGGTCACCCTAAAATCAACGACCAACGTAGGAACATTTTCAATTTTAACAATTGTCAAAATATTTGTAAATGGTCCTCATTGGAACAGCAAATTTGGTCACACCACAGTTTTTTATTTTAAGGTGGGAGTGTGGCCTAGCAGTTAGGGTTCGTGACTCACGATCAGAGGGTCAGGGGTTCGAATCCAGCTGCTGGCCATATGTTGTGTCCTTGGGCAAGCCATTTCACCCCCACTTGCCTCTCTCCACCCAGGAGTATAACTGGGTACCAGCATTAGCTGGGAGTAACCTGCGATGGACTAGCATCCCATCCAGGGGGAGTAGAAATACTCCCCGTCGTTTCATGCTACTGAAACCGGAGATAAATGCTGGCCTGATGGGCCACATCGGCTCGTGACAGACTTTACTTAACTTTACAGTATTTTTTAAGCATTGGGATTAAAATCTGGAGTTTTAACATACAGTTTGAATTCCACTATTCCGTTTTGAAATTCGGAAATCGGATATTCGAAACCATCCTAAACTTTCCAGCCTTTACAATTTTTGTGACATAAGCCTTTAACAACTGGTACATATCATAATTTGCTTCATGGTCTCTGATTGTAACTGCATTCACTCACTAGCGGTCTTCTTACATGTAGTTCATGAATAGCCTGCCCATTTGACTGATCAGAGAGTTCCATCCACTTTTATTTTCACCATTAAAAGTTTTTTTTCTTCTTCAAAATCCAGATTGTTATCCCACCACTATCTGAAACCCCACGAATAACACACTTACCGTGAGCAGCCAGGTATGACTATATCCGTCACCCCGTTCGCCATGGGTTTCGTCTCCTCTTCTGGCCCATCCTTCTTGAGGTCCGACCTCTGACCCTCGGGGTCGGCTACATGTAACCTGTCCAGGGAACCGGTGACTCCGTCCATGATGCTGTGGAAGCTATCCGAGTCGCTGAGGGAACCAGTTAATTCCAGAGAGGCCCTGTCGCTCAGGCTCTGAACAACAAAAATGAACAAAAATTCTGGCTTAAAAGTAAAATTATGTTTGATAAGGAAATAATAGGCTTTACAATGTAGAATAGAATAAAATCATGTATTTTTTTGTGTTCGTGTTTTTATTGCTCTCGCATGTTTACAGAGAGAAACAAATCACAAACAAATAGTAAGGCCAAAACAAAAAAGTCTCCGGTTTCTGGTATGCGCGCGCGTCGCCGTAGCCATGCGCGTCGGCAAATGAAAAAGTTTTTTTTTCAATGAAAGATGATGTCTCAAAACCGCCAAACTCACTGGTTTGACTGGAATCCTGCTGCTGCACAATTTTAACGTGTTTTTAGATTGGGTTATGGTCGAGAATAAGCTTGATGTGGCCTCTCTGGACTCCCATATATTTGCACTAAGTTTAGTCGGGCACCATTTGCAGTCATCAGCCGACATTTGAAGCAAAAAAATAAGGTAAAAAAAAAAAAAAAAGCTGCGTCGCCGCACCACTTTTTGGGCAAGCTCCATACCAGAAACCGGAGACTATTTTTTTTTGGCCTAACGGTGTTACGTATTAAAATATCTTACTTACTAAATTTTGTTTTGTGGTGGCCATTTTTTTCAAAACACTAATGCGTCTCAAACTGATCTCCGTCCACGGTGACACTTTATTCCGACCAATTCATCCAACCATACTCTTAATTCCTTGATCAAAATCTCGCACTAATGGGTCTCCCCGGCCCCGTGGCAAAATTGACATCGATATGTTGGCTCACGGATCGTCACTGCACACGCGCACAATACATGTATACGCGATATGCACACCGCGAGGTGAACACACCATTGAAAATTATTTTTAGTCTGATCCTCAAGTACTCCACTGCGCACACCGTATTGATTTCTATCAGGAACTCAATCCCGTTGCATATTAGACTTGTTACCAGTTCATCCATTATTGTAAATAGGGCCTACATTTTCGCTAGAAGTTTCACCGCTAGAAGTTTCATCGCGCGACATTACGAAAACAGAAAATGCTGGAAATCCGAAATTCAGAAGACGTCTCACCAAACATCCGAACTACAGAAAAATCCGGAGAAATGTCACCCCTGGGGTTCATAAGTGATAAGAGAAAGTGACATGGAAACTTTGTGTGGACGCCGATTGATTTAGGATCAGTTCGCACAAATGTACAATGTATGCATTTCCGTCTTTTTTGCTTAATACATGTAGTTCTTCCGATTTCTAAATCTATGATATACCTGACATGTTGGATTGCAATTGGAAGCTTTAAGACTGAATTCTCACAGCAATAGAGTGATTTTGAGCATAAAAATATACGCAAAGGTGCAGCGCCAAAACTGAAATTTGAACAAATTTTAATTTAGGACAACAAATTTAAAAAAATTTCCCCCTTTAAAAAAAAAAAAAAAGCCGCGTCGCCGCACCACTTTTAGGGCAAGCTCCATACCAGAAACCGGAGACTTTTTTTTTTTGGCCTTACCTCTGGGCTGCCAGCGCAACTGGCCTCCGTCTTGGCATCGTAGAAGGTCCCACTGAATGAAGAATATCTGGAGATCTGCTCCAAGTCGTGGTGCTCCAGGGCTAGGGCCTGCAGCCCATCCTGCAGAACGCGGGACTTCTCAAGGGCTTGCGACAGCTCGACTTTACGCAACTGATGAAAGAAGAAAGGAGGGAATAAGAAAGTCTAAAAATGAATCCAACTGATGACTAACTACATGTGAATGTCTGGAAGTTGTAGTGAACTTAGCCTTAACCTACCCAAATCCTCCCAAAATCCTCTTTGCAAAATGGAGGAGTTTGCGGGATTGAGGCTACAAAAATGTGTGGCTAATTTTGGAGGATTTTGTACGGCATTTTGCCGGAAGAGCCCACAAAAGTCTTTTTGACTTATTTCCAGTGGGGTCTCTTGGTAGAATATGTATGTATTTAGAAGGAAATTGTTTTAGTGGAGGGAGGAAAACCACAGAAAGACACCGGTATTTTTCTAGGAAAAACCCACGGAATCGGGTAGGGACTGAAAACCAATCCACGTATTGACCCAGGCAGGATTCAAACCCGGGAAGCGAAGAGGAAAACAAATACTGAACAACAACCTGTGGTGAACCTACCTACATACATGTACGTACATAAAAACGCTTTGTAATAATGACTTGGAATGACTCGTGATTTTAACAAACTCCAACTTTGACACGGTGGCAAAAACAAAAACTTACATACTGAGATTGGGCAACAATCAAGCTCTCTCCTGGACCTACCAGTACAATTGACATGTTTCAACTCTCCGCAGGTAGCCTAGATAATGATTAACACTAAACTCCGCCACCAACTGGGAAAGTAAAGATGCATTGCCTTGGGAAGTGTTTGCTGTTGACGCAATCTAGTAAATGGGGCACTACAAGAGCTGCCTGTGCCAGCATGTGCCAGCATGTCTGACCAAATTTCAAACAAATCTCTGCTGTGTGTGTCTGTAGTAAAAAGCAATGCCACTTTGAAAGTATGGGTTGAAGGGAATATAGGGCCTACAGCATTTGCAGACATCAAAAATCAAAACTAAATTATTGTGAAATGTCTTACTGGACTGTTAGTGAAAGACAGCCTAAAGCATCCTGGTAACATCGTGGCACGTGGTGTGCTGACATTTTCAAGAAAAGTGGTATTTTTACATTCATTTCCAATGCTGGTCAGCGGAGACCAGAAAGCCAGCCTTTGACCGACATGTTTCTCACTGACTGACTGTCATGCGTGAGCCGGGCAGTGCTATTGTATAGGACTACCCCTCACACCAATGAATGGGCTAAATCTGGCCCATTGTTTAGACCACATGCAATTGAAAAGACTCCCAGGAATAGCTATTGTGAATCAAACGAGTAGAAATGTGTGCACTCTAGGCCAGCTTTACTTGGCATGCTTTTTTTTCCAGATCAAAATATACAGACCATGACAAATTGTTATTGAAGGTTTGTTGATGATGAATTTCATGAAATTTGATTTTGATGTCTTTCTTTATCACAATTGCTGGTACGCTTTGAATATGACTTCACAATTTTTTTTTTTTTTTTTTTTTACTTTGTACCAGCACGTCAAGTTGCTGTTCAGTAAAAATGTGGCAAAGCAATTTACCAATGAGTCAGGACTCGGCCAAGGCTGCAAATGACTGCAATTTTACCCCAGCAGTTCTGCGACTCAAACTGAGGAAATGAGGTCGCACAATGGGGATGTTATATTTTCCAAAAACAATAATCGAAACGGAAACAGGAAGTGTGTATGGGTCGTTTTATAAATTTAGGGTCAACTATTTTTTCCTGTCCCTGTAAATGTACATCTGACATCTACATATCATTTTTAGGGTTGTCTCAAATATTGTTTCGAATATTTGATCATCAACATCAGCCAGATATTCAAATAGCTTTTTGCTCGTTTGAATTTTCGAAAGATAAAAAAAAGTTTGTTGTATATTCCTATTATTAAGGAGTGCATCAGATTATAAAATCATAGATGTCTTTAAGGTACAGGAAAATTAACACTATACATAAAATGTAACTGTACATTCCCCTTTCTGGGGCCTCCAAATCAGACTCAAACCAACAGATAGATAGATGTCTTAAGGTGTAAATATCATCAAGGCAAGAATACGATTACATCGCCAGATTTCTTCCGTCTGAGTACACGTTGGCCGTGGATGCCGTGTCTTTTTCTCATGGCCTGAAGGACTGTTGTCTGAATAATGTAACGGCGCTGAGTCGAGGTGTTGGAATAAATTGAAATGAAGATGTTTACACGAATACAGACCCAGGGTAATGCGCACCGTTAGTTGTATTAAATACTTGTCTTGAGGGTTTACGGAATCTCGCATATGTTACAAGGCTGATGGTTGGTTTGCGGATTCGTCGATGAAATTTTGAAAAGTCATATTCTGCAGTGTGTTTTACATAAATTTGCCATTACTGGACATTCTGTGATATGGACTGGTCAAATATTCCTGCCAAGGATATTTCCCCTCTGAACATCTCTATAAAAGGAATATTTAAATACACTCTTTATACGTTCGTGCATCTTCTAAACATTGTTTAGTGGTGTGACCATCATGCGTAAAATCCTCCCCTTAAAAATTAAAAAAAAATAATAATACAGAATCACTTTTGCAAAGTGTCTTCATTCCGTCCATAGAGTGCAGTCCTTAAAAAGATGAACATAATCGCACTGTTGTCGTTTACAATGTACCACAACACAAAATCATATTGTATTACAAAATACAATTACAATAATTATGTACGATGGGTAAAGGTACATTGCAAATTGCACGTACACGTACTGTACTGTACGTATGCATATATGCAAGTACATGTACATGTGCATCTGAAAACCTATAGAGACTCATATCTACATGTACATGTACTAGCATACATTTGAATGTGTTTACCATGTATTGAAACAATCAATCGTGCAAATCTATGCATATCCCCGTATAATTAAGGTCACCCGCATGTCCTAGAGGAATATTTCCAAAAGACAAGCAGTCTGTAAAACCTAACGCACAGCGCAGTCAAACGCAGCACACTGCAACGATCACAACGGTACTAACATGATGCGCATAAACACATCAAATGCTTGCAGCTGAAAAATGCTGAAAATTCATCAATATAAATGACATGGTGGTACAGAAAATGCCTGCCGGGGCATATATAATGCTTACTGACTATAAAAATTATCATTACTAACTGGATAAACAAAAATTCAGGGACCGTGTTAAAAAAAAAATGGTACTTTGAAAACAATTCTGGCATGTACATGTACATTGTATGCAGAAATAAGATTTTGGCATAAAAGTTAAATAACCAGATGGTTAATTTAATTTGAGATATTTATGAATAATAAATTAAACTTTATTATATGTGATGCGATCAATCTACATGAGTCGTCTGTCGACCCTGGTCAAAAATTGTTTTTATTACAGATTTCAAAAGAGCTCATTCTCAGCATTACTGCTGTGAAAACTGCATGCTGGTACCATCTTTATTCAAAAATTATGGAAGTCGGAACACCAAGAGATGTGATGAAGTGATGTGACGAAGTGGCCCTACCGTATTTTGGCCTGAATCTCCACATAAAATTTCCCGACAAACGACTCATTCAGCTTGATCGTATCACATATTATGTGTACATATTTGAAGATACATACATACAAACAACATGTACACATGTAAATTCACATAAATTTTGTAATACATGTATATATCAGACTTTTGTGAGATGACAAATGATTGGTTTTCCTTAAAAACACTTTCATTCCACAATTTTCATACTATTTCTTTAAAATCTGTGTAGTAGACGTGTCAAAGATCACAAACGCATGTCCAAGTGGGATGAACATAAAGAACTGCAATTTCGCTCAACTCCGTTCCGCCCAACAACACTGATTTGTTGCTGTTTCGCGAGCTCCAGCATGATGGAAAATGCTATGAAGTATCAGGTTTCGCCACAGCGCGTCACAGTAAGACTGCAAATGAAGTCAACGCATCCATTTGCGAGAGCAGCCTTTCTGACGTTAACTACGCCGATAAATTGATGCATGTGTTTTCATTAAATGTCATGTAGTTGGGTAATTATTGGAGCGCAAAGCGTCACCAGTACAAAAGAAGGGAAATTAACTGAACTTCCTGTAATAAGTTATTGCGGCTAGGTTTAATTTTCCTGCAATTATGAGCGTAGCCTTGCAGGCTTCACATTTGATTTGCGTTGATTGTTTTACAAATTACACAAAATTTTACTAGTTTTACAAAATTTTACTAATTTTGGAGAACACTATATGCAATAATTTTTTTTTTAAATATAAACTCAAGGGCTAATATAACGCCTAATTGGTCTGGCTTCCAACCTCGTGCTGTGCATTATACTGCACAAAATTAGCAGCACGCTTGGGGCGCCATCTGTTTTTGAATCCTGATTCGGCCCACTAGCCATAGAGCTTAAGGTTTTTATAGATCTCCGTGCAGTGGACCGACCATCTGTGAAACGATTTGGAATGACAGCGAGGGCCTCCTGACACGCAATGCAGAATTATGATAAATACCTACGCATGTAATCTTTATGTACAGCACATGGACAAGAATCTGTATATCAGGGCCAACTGACTTAGGAAAACATGTTTCATATCTGGCGAAGGTTGGAATTTGTATAAATTCATTGCTGGATCATGTGCGAGTATACGGGCGAATGATGTCATCATCACAACACATGCTTGCAATCACATGCCAAAACTTTATTAAAATTTAACTATTATAATGTGCAGATATGCATAATTCTGGCCTGCCAGACAGACCGGTAGACTGTATGGTTATTTATGTTACATAATACATTTACCGGTATGTTTCATGTACGCCACGTGTACATACGTACATGTACAACACTAATAAACATGGTCATACCGTATACAAGTTTACATACTGTGCCGGTATGTGCAGGTTTGAAATTTGTATGCATACGTGTGCACATGTCTGTATGCACATCATACATACATGATTATAAACCCATCACAACTGACTACAATTCTACATGTAAATGTACATGTACATGTCCCTGCACATGTACATGATCATACGTTATCACTAGGTGGACCCTTTGCACTCTACGACTAATCACGTGTTATATACA